TAATAATAATAATAATAATAATAATAATAATAATAATAATAATAAATAGTAAAAATAAGATTAAGCTCGAAATCTCTTCTTTCTAATAGAATCACGTGAATGATGGTCATTATCATTTAATTTGCTAACACCTTATAAAATTCAGCATAAAGTAAATTAAATTAAAATATTTAGGTACATATGTATAATTTATGATATTATATTAATATTATATATATTAATAATAATTATTATTATTTTTATGTATATAAACACATATTTGCCATAAATTATTTACGCATTATATATCTATGTATAATATTTATTTTATCGTATTGTATTAAACAATGTATTACGAAATCAGTTCTCCTTAACGATTAAAAAATTGATAAAAATAAATTTATCTATATAAATTTCCTATTTTTCACTAATAAACGATATCAAAGAGATAAATGTATCGTTTGTACTTTTAACTTTTTATCAAGCAACATTAAAATAGATAATATATATTTGATACAAAGGAAAATACTTTTATTTGTGATATGAATTTTATTTTTTTGTATGCATTAAATTAGTAATGTAATATCAATTTTCTTCCACATTTTTGTTAATTTTGTGCCTGTCAGCATTTTTATCTTAAAAGCTTTTTTAATGTATTTAAATATTTTATTATTCTTACATTTATGATTTTCTCAAAAAGAGGTCAATTGTTAATTAATGTTTCTTATGAAAACAAAGTTTATATTAGTTTTTTATTTGATACATTCAATATTTGTTGTTGAAAATTAGTTTTGATGAAGAACAATTCCCTTACATTTATATTTATATTTCTGTTAAAAAAAGAAAAGTAATAGCAATCAACAAAATAAAAAAAATAAAATCAAAATTTAATACATAAAATATTTTATAGTTTAACATAGAAATTGATGTAATAGTCTTATGGAATAATAGCTTATTGGTCTTAATAGTCTAATGGAATAATATATTAATTCAATTCGAAGAAAACATATCAAACTCTATTGACTATAATTACAATTCCCTGTACATATCTAATTTTTTCATCACTTTTTCACGATATGTTACAACTGATAAATTTATTGATATGTTATCAAGTAAAAAAGGTATGTGTAATGAATATATAAAGAGGAAGAGAAGGTCTGGTCGTCAGAAGAATAGTAATAGGAATATAAAATACAACTGAGTTGGGCACCTTTCAAAGTGAAAATGAAAGGTAAGTTAGGTACAATGAGTTCTAATAAAAATGATTGCAATGTAAAGATTGACAGATTGTAAATTTGAATTTGTTGCCAAACATTTCTCGAAAATTTTTTGAAAAGTCGAGTGTAATATATTAAATGTTTTTAAGTATCAATTTTTTTAATATTTAGCAGTTTGTTATTGAACTGTCATTTTAAATATTTTTCTAACATGAAATCTATTCAAAACAGAAATCGTTAGAATACTAATTTTATAAATTAACAAAACATATAATAAATTAATTTGAGTAGTTTAAATGAATTTTTTTGTGAATTATAATATCTTATAATAGAATGAATATATGTATATTAATTGAAAGAAAACGAAATTTAAATTCTATCGAGATACGATATTAATTAATATCGTTTGATTATTTCAGCAACATTCGTGGCAATATTAGCCACAGTTGCGTTTGCAATCGCTACTCCGCCACAGTGTCTGAATCTAAATGGAGAAGATATTGCTTTGTTTTCGAATCCAGATGACTACACGACTTTCTATTACTGCGATGAAGGCATACCATGGTTAATGAAATGTACCGAAGGGCTTGAATATAACCCAGAGCTAAGAATATGTGATTACCCGAGAAAGGATGCAGACAGTAAACATCATCATTCAAAACCACCACCTCCTCCATCCAGTTCTGCACCTGGATCTTCTAACAGACCACCACCGCCACCGCCCCCTCCATCCAGTCCTGCACCTGGATCTTCTAACAGACCACCACCACCACCACCACCACCACCACCACC